ATTAATGTAGCTAAATACTGCATCTTCTACATCTTCTGATTATCAATATTACATGTGACCAAAAACCAAAAGCCTGGTTGATCAGAAATGATATTTTTGTGACCATAAATGATTCAGAAAAATCTGGATGATAATAAAATAATGTTTTAAATAGTTATATGTTTAACAATTCAACATATAAATAATAATTGCTTAACATATTTCAGGTACGTAACATATTTGTTACTTTTGTAGACATTCTTTCTTCAATTATAAATAAATGATTTGACAATTCTTCAAACGACCACAAATCATACGTATATGTATATATCCTTATCTGATAGTAATATTTTAGGCAATACACTATATTCCAAATGTAACATGTTCAACGTGTAATAACAATAAGTTAAATAATTGTTAATATATTCTAATTTTCAATATACGTATTTCTAATTACGGTGATATATTCGTTACTCTTCTATACATACCATTTTTAATTATGTATCAATAAGTGATACTAAAACTTTAAAATGATACATTCACAGACGACACATTTACCTTAAAATGACAGCACTATTTACGAAACAGATTTTAATGTTCGTCAAAACTTATACCGCATTAACTGTTTATAATATAGTTTAGTGTTCGAGGGTTAAAATACAGTTCAATCAAAATCATATCCTTTTCACCCCGAAATTATGAAGCAGCCAATCTCGGCTTATTCTAATTATCAGCCGAAGACGAGCACACCCCCGAGTGTCGTTTCGTTGGTCCGCCATCACGTTGCTTCCCTTTTCTATGAGACATATGAAAGCTTACGCATAATCTTATGTAAATCCCGTGCTACCCTTATGCCTGTACGTTGTTTCATATAGGAAGAGCAACTTACGCGGGTTGGTTCTCGGGTTACACACAGAAAGGGATGCTTAGGCAACGGTTCGTCGATGTTGCACGGGGCTAGGGCGCGGGGCTTGTATGAATGTTAAAATAAGTTTGAAATTGTCGCGGACAAGTTCGGCCCCGTGGGAGGTAGCCGTCGAGTAATTCTACTGTGCTGGCGGTTTCGGCCCTTCGGCGAGTTTGCGACCAGCCGCGAATTCCTACCAACTTCTGCGCTTATACATTTCCGACTTAACCCTCATACTCCGAGCTTCCTGTTAATAATGCGTCTTTTACCCATTAAGAATCAAATTCTTATGTAATCTGTATTTTAAATTTGGTTAATTTTAACTGACGTTTAATGGCCATTCATTTTTAAATTAAAACTAAATTATACAAATAGAAAAATAATGGATAATTCGTAAACTAACTTATACAATGACTTTATCTTGATGACGGTTAACATTTCTACAGAAGCTTCTCAATAATTTTTGTAATTGAAAACAAAAAATTCAAAATCGGTCATTTTTACGCATACCGTAAATATGTATAGTGTTAATTAAATCGTAATTCATCGAAAATGAATTTCGTTGTTCGAAATATAAATATACACAAAAATCTAATTCTAAATATTATTCAGTAATTGCTGACAAATTTTTAATTTGCTGTAAATTAAGAATACACTTAAAATTTGCATAATGAAGGATATAAGATAGACATAACATTTTAGCTTTCTTTACTCGTTTCATTGTTATACCTGTGGATAATTTGTTCTGACTGACGCATCTGACAAATAAATCGAACAGCAGTATTTATACAATCGCATCGCGCACTAGCTTCGATATTAGTTTGAAATTAACTAGTGTAAAGGATTTAACATTTTCTAACTTAAAAATTCTTCATCTATAAAAATTTTGAGTGTTACAAATTCCTAAACTTTCAAATCTCTAATTTTCAAATTACTAAATTCTTACAAATTTAAAAATCCCAAATTCTTAAATTATCAAGTCCCTAAATCTCTAAATTTCCAAATTTTATAACTTCTACATTTTGCCAATTTTCAAATTATTAAATTAGTAAATACCAAACTAAAAAATTACCCATTTTGTTATTAAAATGTCAACTGCCCCAACTTTTAGGTTTTTAATCTCCAAGCTTTTACATTTTTAAGTTCTGTAACTGAACAATTTCTGTATTTCCAATCTAGAACCAGGTTTTCAAAATTTCTCAGAATCTCAAATGTATAAAATTTTTAAAGTTTCTAAACTTTTATATCCCAATATTTCCTAGTTTCAAAATTATGTAATTTTTAAATTTTTTAATTCTACATTTTTCAGATGTCTTAAACATCGAAACTTTAAATTCTTTAATTTCCAAAGTAGATGTTATTCGTTCCAAATTTTTTAATTTTAACATATTCAAATTCTTAAATTTTCAAATCTATAATTGTTCAAATTTTAACGAAATTTGTTCACTTAAAAATTTGAAAAATTTTAGTCCTAAAAATTTGGGGATTTGAAGATTTTAAAGTTTGTCCACTAAAAACCAACCTGTGGTAAGATTTATTTCTCTTATACTGCGATTTTCCCAAGAAAGGGCTATCGTATTCCTTACATTGTACAAAGATGTAAAATTCTTATACCTTAATTATTTATTTTGTACAATAAACAAAACAATTATACTAATTTTCGCTTATATCGATTCCGTCCTCTTGATTTGTTAAAGTCAATTAAAAACAGAATAATCTCTATAATAATCTTTAACATGTACTTGTAAATTCATAAAATTTTTCGCACTGATGTAATTATCTTACAATCAATAATAATTTTTTTGAATGGACAGGAGAATCAAGGCTTCAATTACATTAAGATCTCATTTACCTTAGATTTAGAATTTGTTTGAACAAGTGTAAAAGTCATGGTTAGAAATAAGTCATAATACGCAATCATTTATTTTTATTTGAAGGTACATTCACTTATTATGTCAGCATAATGAAATAAAAATATTTTGCGCTTTGATACATGTTCTACTGATTTCAACAGAGAAATCGAAATAATGAAAGAAACGCGTAAACTTAGTCACTGACAAGTCTTCGATTCATATAAATTGGTTCTGCAGAGCATTCGTCGAAGCTGCCAAGTTCGCTTACCGATCGAGATTCGATCTTTTCCCTTCGGGACTAAGGAACGTGGCCTCGGTGCACAAAGATGGAGCTGGCCCAAGGGTGATGGCACACCTAGTTTTGATTCACCTCATGGCATTTTACCGGTCACGCGGCTGACGGCGCGTAATTGTTCTCTTGTCTGGTTCTCGCAACGGCATCCAACCCCTGCCAACATTTGCCATCCCCGCGATTGCCTGCGCGCCAAGAATACATAAGCAGCCTGCTTTACCAATTCGCAATGCTGCAAACTTTCGTACGCCTACCATCCAATCCTCCTATCATGTTTTCTTATACGTATAGGAACGTAAGGTAAGCGATTCGGGAAACCACAACTTGCTTGACACACGAGACTGTTTTCAACGTTCTCCATAAAATTCCATCCCAATTTTCTTACAAAGCAATTCTTCTTGACATCTTAAACATACAGTGGCGTGCAAAAAATCGCATAATGCAATACTGTTTTTTGACTACTAAAGTTAAACTCTCAGTTGATTTTTCTTGTATATTATTTCTAATATTAATATTAACACTAAATATCAACGAGTGTATAATGCATACTATTAAATATGTACGAAAGAATAATTTCAAATATCGCACTAAAAAAATTTCTCCAGTACTGTTTACAGGATGGTATTGATATAATAATATAAGATGACAAATGAACAACTTCTGTCCTTAGTTGTTCTTGGACTGACGCTGTTATTGACGCTGCATACGTTCACTAGTAAAATATACATACTTATGAACCGCTTATTTTGAAAATTGGAAAAATGTATTTTTGAAAAAAGTATTGAGAACAATACACAAAAATTACTATGATCTTTTTATCAGGAAGCGAGTGAGGCAAGTCCATTTGAATGTAACAAAACCTTAACTTTTTTAACCAGCGTTTTAAATACTATTATATTATAAACATACATTAATTAACCACACAATACAACATACTTGTCTCTTAGTCCTACCAATAGTTTTAAATTTACTAAGAAGCAAATCTTTAATTATTTCATGACAACAAAAAGTGCACTTGCCCCATTTTCAAACTAAACGGTTCATATATTGATTATAAAATTAATTTTGTGAAACTTGTAATATTTGTAAGTAGTATTATTTCTTTCGTCTTAAATTTTCATATAATAAATATTGTCTATGTAACAGTGTGATTTATTCCATTAAAACTCCTAAAAAATCAACATACACATAATTAAACTTAAAAATAAATTAGGAAAATAAATGAACAAACAATAAAGTATAATTTAATATACACAGTAATTCTTTATCTTGATAACAGATTACATGAAAAGCATGTTAATGCATTTTGTAATTTATAAGAGAAAACTTGTAAATGGATTGCATTCATTTGGTAATGTTAGCGTTAAAATTAAATTGATAATGATAAGAAGTCTTTTATCTAGTTATCTAAATGCGTACGTCAATCACTTTTATGTAAAGAATTATAATACAAACCATTTATGAAGAAATGTTAAAAATGATTGGAAACGTTTAGAAAGAGCGTTTCAAACTGGGACCCTTTACTTCTTCGGTAGTGGGATTGATTGACATAAATATTCTCCTCTATAACGAAAGTCGAAAGAAAGGCTCTTGTCAGAGGCATATGATGCGCAAAATCTGTCCAGCAACCTCTCCGAGGTGCATATCGGGTAATGCTAATGCCGGCGGTATATGCCATAAATGCAAGGGTTTCTTTAAAGTTCTGTATCTTTGCAGAAAAAAATGGTAGCGGTTTTTCACATACTGGAAATTAAAGATAAAGGTTTGTACTTTATGCTGCTGTAAACAGTATCGCCCCAAAAAAATGTGGCAAGTCCATGCATTTCGTCAAACTTTGTAATTTTCAATGTAGCGGCACATGGTTCGCAGCGTTGGTAGAAATTAGCATTGACCGTTTACAGATGTTTAGGTGTAGGCAGTTAAGCCTACCCTAAAGTCTGTAAGTCGGCGAAATTATTTTATGTTTTTTGGACGTGCGTAGCTCAATAGACTACCCTACCATAAACGCTGCCAGCCATGTCCCGTTACGGTTCATTAGGCCACATGGTCAGCGCGGTCCGGAAGGACATTTTCGACTCTCAAATTCTAATTTACAATACTCTTTCCCCCGTCGAAAATGGGAGGACTCTGCGAGGAAAATAACTCCACCCTCAACTGTGTAAGGAGTTACGCCTTCTCCGAAAAGTTTATATATACTGCGGAAGGGCGTCAAAACAGATATAATCAGTCGAGCCTCCGATTCTGCATCATCGAACATTCTATACTGATTCCGTAACATTGTATTCAATAGCATTTCTGTAATATCACACATAGTCTCCATAGTTCACATTAAAACACCTTACCTCTTGCAAACAGAGTAGTGAGTATAGTAATTGTCGTTCTATCGATCATATAAGCATAATATGGCTAATAATATGAGTTAGATTGATAATAATAAGAGTTGTAGCGGCACATGGTTCGCAGCGTTGGTAGAAATTAGCATTGACCGTTTACAGATGTTTAGGTGTAGGCAGTTAAGCCTACCCTAAAGTCTGTAAGTCGGCGAAATTATTTTATGTTTTTTGGACGTGCGTAGCTCAATAGACTACCCTACCATAAACGCTGCCAGCCATGTCCCGTTACGGTTCATTAGGCCACATGGTCAGCGCGGTCCGGAAGGACATTTTCGACTCTCAAATTCTAATTTACAATACTCTTTCCCCCGTCGAAAATGGGAGGACTCTGCGAGGAAAATAACTCCACCCTCAACTGTGTAAGGAGTTACGCCTTCTCCGAAAAGTTTATATATACTGCGGAAGGGCGTCAAAACAGATATAATCAGTCGAGCCTCCGATTCTGCATCATCGAACATTCTATACTGATTCCGTAACATTGTATTCAATAGCATTTCTGTAATATCACACATAGTCTCCATAGTTCACATTAAAACACCTTACCTCTTGCAAACACACTGTTGCGAGTAATATTTATTCATTTCACACCTAACCTACCTCGCGACATTCAATATTGCAAACATGACCTCACATTTACGGTGTTATTGTGGTAGGGATGCATCAAATCTAAAATCAAACTACAGGGTCTTAAAGTAGAGATCTCAAGCTTTAATTTGAAAAAAAAGAGCATAACTTTGCGATGATTTTTCACGGAGTTATCATCAGTCGAATTTGGCCAATTTTTGCCTAAATTTTTTCTATGCTATATTTCTTTTGAGCAGTGTATCTCAAAACACTATAATATTTGAAAAGTTTAGCATAATATCGATTACTTTTAAAAGCTATAAATGTAAGTTATTTACTTTCCGTGGGACTGTGCTTGAGTTGTTTACGTGGGCGTCACTGTGTCTAGGGATTTGTTATTCGATCGGATATCAATTTTCCCTTTATATTCAAGTATGTTTATAATTAAATATTCGTTATGAAATATTTTTAAATTAAATATTAATGAGGTTAAGAGTAAAGGTGTGTTTTATGTATATTATATGTGTAATTTTTTTTATTAAATAAATAATATTAAAACGTTTAAAAGCTTAAGAAGTTAAATTTTAGTAATCTCAATTTTAACTTTAGCTTTAACTCACATTAATAAATTGTTTGGCCTTTCTGTACGTCAGAAATATGTATATTATTGCCTTCCTCAATTTTAACAATATTTACGATACGTTTTTTATATTTGCAGCAGAAATGTCATTGTACACGTGTTATATTGTAAAATAAATAAAATGAAAAATGACATATACATATATTCATTTTCTATATTATGAAATGAAAAAAATACTAATTTTTATCCACAAGTTTTCACCATACATCATAAAAGTCAACTTTAGTTTCATAAACTATTGTCACATAATTTGCTAACTTATGAATCCAGTGAATCAAATAATATAAGTAAAAAAAAGATGATTATCGCAAAATTATAAATGAACATACGCCGATTTTATCAGGAACGTTAACGTAATGTATATTTCCAAGATGTATCGCATCTAGCAGATGGACGTAGGGTGACACGGCTCACCAACCAGTCGACGAGACTTTTAGAACTTGACAAACGACCGTTTTTCCCCTTCGTGTCCCTCCTCGAAATTCGTGTATCGTTCGAAATCGAACTATCGATACGTTTGACGGGTTATTAATGATTGACAGACTCATCCGTTTCTCTAGTTGTCCCGATTATCAATTCGTACTTTCTTTTTGTATCCGATCTTTCATATGAAAAATACTCGATTCTTGCATAGGATCTATGAGGATCATAGAATACAACATTTATATTAACTATTTAAATAAAATATTAAATGCGAAAATTGTAATTCAAAATTATTAAATTTACAGAAATTAAACAAAATAATAAAATTGGATAATTAATTTTTTCTCGTTAGCTTATTACAAGTACATTAAAATAAAATTTATTTACATAATTAATGTGTCTTAAACATACATAGTGATATAACTGCAACCCGCAGGTTAAGCTTTACAAAAGCAAAATTTCAAACTAAAAATTTCTAGTTAACGTAGCGGTTTGACCGATGTTTTAATCTAAAACTAATATTTTATAAGTTACAGTTTCGAAGGTGTACCCCAATGCGAAGAAATATGTTAGGATTAGCTTCGGGAATATAAACTGCAGTGCTGAGGTGAACGGAAAATACTTTAATTATATGAATGTATCTTTACAAAAATGCGCGGTGCTTCATTGACGAAGATATAACTGTAACTGCTAGACAAAGGATCGTGGTGCGTGTTTGGACGCGCAAAGCGCAGTTCATTTGTTTTGTCCGTTACTTCTAACTTCTAACAAAATATGATACAGTTCTGCCTTGCAAACTATAATTAAAAGCGTGAACAGCAGACTTTTTAAGTAATTCATTTAACTAGTATAAATATTGGTATATGTATAAAAATGAAGTAAAAGATTTTAATTGCGTAATGTAAATAAAACTCTATATTAAACGGAACTATAAAGATTTCACATATCGTTTTTTTCCAATCACATATTTTTCAAATTCATTTTTTATATGAATTCATATTTTACCCCGAAGCTAATCAGATCTCTTCGCAATCTACTTAATATCGAGACAATAAATAGAATTTGTTCATTTTTTAAAAATCATTCGAAATATCAAATAAATGCTGCATGGAACTATTAACATTTTGTAGACTGTACAAATTTTGGCTGTGTCGTCAAGATCAAGTTCATAAAAATCGGTTAAGAATTGTTGAAGTAAATTACTAGGTTTTCTAGAACGAAATTTATGCTGCAATTGAAATGTATTTAGAAAATTGAAACGTATAAATGAGTAAATAATATAGATAATCGGGTTTTTAGTCCGTTCTAATCGATCTTGACAGAACTGGTGCAGAATCGCCCATCTGTACTTGACGTAGTTGCGCTGTGATTCACAGACAGAATCGCGTAATTCCACACGATAGCAATCATATCGCGGCTAGATAATTGGCAGAGAACCGACAATCGTCGTAATTTCCGGTTCCCGGCGCGGAAATTCTGACGCGTGACACGCGACGGATCGACGCTCCTGGGAGGCACCTCATTCAATTAGCTACTCAGTTACTCGCATCACATCGCATTTACCCACCAATTCTCTCTCTCTGTCTCTTTCTCTCTCATCCCCTCTAGTATTCAACTAACTCTCCAACGACCCTCTGAAATCGTCTGTACCGTTCCACATAGGCTGCCTTTACCACCAACTCGTGATTTAAACTTTTCGAGAAGCTCGACAACGATCGCCCCTTTCTCCCGATACGTGCATGCCAGGCTGAATGTCACCGGCTTGTCATTTGGTAACACGGCTTTAGTTCGGTCGTCATGTCAACCGGGTCCCCGTAAACTTCCTATAAGTTTGTTTCCGTGTCTGTTGCCAGCACGACTGAAACTCTGGCATCTTAGGTGTGGAACGACAGTGACGATTATTATTGGGACGTCTAGCTTCACACTTGTTGAAACATTAAGCGATCTTGAAGGATTGTTTCGGCAACATATGCTCGACAGTTAATGCGTATCGCGTGAAAGAGAAGTAATTAATCCCTTCCTATACGATTTATCAATCACGTGCGTTAGACAGAACTAACTACTCACAGGTATAATATTAAAGCGAATGGAGGAAGTTAAAATGCTATGTCTATTTCGTATTCAACGATTTTTGACTATGCAAATTATAATTGGACATATTTTTAAATTGAAGTGTTTCGAGTCATACTCACAAAAGAATGACAAGGGATTAACAGTTAGATTATCGTGAGATTTATGGGCAACTGATGTCTTAAATTGGGGGAAAAAGGCAAAAATAATTTTGAATGATATCAGGTAATGTTATATCAAGTGGCTTCTTTATTAATGCCGTTTGCGGAAACTAACTATTTGTCAACTACAATAAATGTATAAGATTATATAAAACGGTAAATTCTAAGATATTAAAGGTCTGATTTGTTGACGTAAAAAGAACATCAAATTTCACCCGGTAATTTTGATATTTTACTAATTATTGACATACTCAATTTTAGTGATCTATTAAAAAAAAGACATATTGAATTACATATTTAAACAAAAGTTTATTAATCTTTCAACGCGATGTAATCATAAAAATAATGCTTAATTAATTTCTTTTAACTAGCAAAATTGAAAAAAATGATGCATACGATCATTAGTGAGTCATAAGGTCAAAAATAATCAGAAAAATATTTTCAAGAAATATGTGTGGTATGTGTGTGTGTATGTACTATGTAATTGTATGATCGACATGGGTGCATAATATGAATGAAGCTTGCGTATGGTATGATTGATGTTTGCATGTAATGAAGGTTGCTAGAAGATTGTAAGATTGTCATTTTGGTGTAATCGAATATTTTTGGGAGCAAAGCAGAGAGCGGATTGCTTTGAGAGAAATCGTGAGATAAAGACGTGCGAGATATATAATTCGAGAAATTCCATTTGTGTTGTGTTTAATTAATTATAACTATTCATTCTTTGTTAATAAATTTTTTAACCTTTCTAATTATTAAATATTATTCTACATATGTTGAAGGCAAATCCACTCGATTATTTGTGATGATTTCGAAATATGTTGCAAATAACAATATTGTAGGTAATTTTATTTATACAGAATGATCTCTTAATTTGTACGACGTACGTGAAAAATTTCAGTTAATTTTACCGAAAGTCACCAGCATAACTCTCTGTTGCATGTCAGCATTCAAATACTATATGAATACGTCATATTTTTAGATTATGTTACCTATAGCAAATAATAACAAAATATGTTACATTGAAATAAAGTATTCTGGAGTTAATTAACATATATCAAGAATATTTTCGCTAAGAAAATAAACTGGTATATGGTAAGTATACATATAATAGTAAAGTATATCAGTCGTAATATAAATTTAATTGCAGTTGTTTACTTTTATTAAAAGTGTTATTCTTAATAACATATTACAACGATTAAGCTGTAATACCTTTTTGTAAATATTTACCAAAGTTTTACTTAACACTTTACTGTTCCAAATGCAAATTTGCATTGTCCAAAATTTGTACTGATTATTTAAAATTTTGTACAGTCAATGCTATCAAAATAAATTGTAATTAATATTGAAATCCAGTGTTCTATTGTAGAATGAAATATTTTGTAAGAACTTACATGAATACTTTGACATAAATTCAAAGCTCATATATTCAAAAATGTTGAATTTAAATTATGATAGTCTTCAATTCGAGAATTTCATAACAAAAATAAAGTGTCAAAAGAGAGTTACAACAAAAAATAAATACCATCGCATAAAAGGAAGAGATGAAATGTAATATTTAACACCTTGATGAAAGAGAAGATCGTTTTCTGCAACCTTGTACAGTTGGTTTCACTGAAAGTAATACAAAAGATGTAAAACATTCAAAGGCGTTTCTGTCAAGATTGTTGAAAGCAAATTTAAATTCCTTATTTCTTTTTTTGTCGGTAGGGTGCGAGGCTTAATACCAA